ATTTTTATGTACCTCACCGACAAACATTTTACATCATTTTATTAGTATTTTGATGAAAAAAATAATAAGTAAACACAAAATCACAATTTGACAAAATCACAAAATTTAACAATATAATTCACGACAAAAGTTAGTTGACAAAAAATTTCATAAAAAAAATAAAAAATTTATAAATAAAATATATTATTTTTTGTGGAAATGGGTAAAACGGATCGTATGATATTTTTTGTGGACTATGATGGAATGGATAAAATGAATCATATGATTATTTTTGGTGGGCTATGATGGAGTTGATAAAAAGGATTGTTTTTTGTGAGCTATGATTATTTTTGGTAGACTATGATGGATTGGATAAAATGAATCGTTTTTGATGGGCTACGATGGAATGGATAAATCGGATCTGATTGATTCTTTTATAATTTTGTTTACATTTGTTCCAACGTATAATCATGTGACTTCTGTCTCCACATTACACTTGATTCTTTTATAACTTTGTTTACAATTGTTCCGTCGTATTATCATGTAACTTCTATCTCCAAGTTACACTTAATTCATTTACAACTCTATTTAGACTTGTTGCAACATATAATCATGTAACTTCGGTTATCTCATAACTCATGCGACTATAAAACAAGATCTAGAGACTTGACTGGAAGACATGAAAAAAATAAAAATAATGAGACTAATTAAAAATAAAATAACATACTATATCAAACAAGATCTAGAGACTTGACGGGAAGAAGTGAAAAAAAATAAAAATAATGAGACTAATTAAAAATTAAATAACATGTTATATCAAATATGATTCAGAAACTTGAGTGAAAGAAGTGAAAAAAAAATAATGAGACTAATTAAAAATTAAACAACATATTATATCATTTGACTATCTTATTGAAGATATAGATGAAAAAAATTTAAAAATAGCAAGAAAAAAATTAAATTAAATTTGTTTAAAGACTAAAATTAAAACATATCTTAAGAAACTAAACATATTTAATTTGATATTTTTTATTCTTCTCTTCTCCCTTTTGCTTTAATAATAGACTGCATTTTTGTGCGAATAATTTTACACACTCAACTTCAAATATAGCATCGTGTAACTATTGTCTTGTACATTTTTAACATCCAATAAGTATGAAATGCAAATGTAAAAAAAAATCTCTCAAGATAAAGAGATTTGACCTGAATTTGTATTTTCATTTAGTCAGATACATTCTTATACAAAACCTAACTAGATATTAAGTTTAAATATGGATAAAAAAAAAACCAAATTTTGTACAGACGTCTTTTTCAATAAATATTTAAACTTTGTTTTATATGTGAAATATTAGCTCTATCTATCATGCTAAATATTGTTGATACTTTTTTTAAGAGAAAACCTGACTGATATTTATATGCTATGTCAATTAAAAATTATGTGACAATTACAATCATTTATAATGAATAGAAATATTTATTATTTTTGTTCGATTAAGAATTATTTCTATAAAGGTTGAATTATTCGGACAATATTCAAATTTGATCTTTAATCAGATATTAATTATCTCCTAATCGAACTAGATTACTCTAAAATGAAATCTTAAAACACTGATATGAAAAAAAACAATAGAGAGATAAAAAAAATGATGTGATATAACTTTTTTATTTCATGTAAATTACTTTTCAAACTTTAAGATTTTTACGTAACTCTTCGTTAAGAATTTTACATCATTTTATTAGTATTTCGACAAAAAAAATAATAAGTAAACACAAAATCACAATTTGACAAAGTCTCAAAGTTTAACAATATAATTCATGAAAAAATTTAGTTGATGACAAATTTCATTAAAAAATAAAAAATTTATAAATAAAACATATTGTTTTTTGTGGGAATGGATAAAACAGATCGTATGATCATTTTTGGTGGACTACGATGGAATGGATAAAATGGATAGTATGATTATTTTTGGTAGGCAACGATGCAGTTGATAAAATGGATTATTTTTTGTGGTCTATGATTGTTTTTTATAGACTATAATGAAATGGATAAAATGAATCGTTTTTGATGGGCTACGATGGAATGGATAAAACAGATCTGATTGATTTTTTTATAATTCTGTTTACACTTGTTCCAACGTATAATCATGTAACTTTTATCTCCACATTACACATATTCTTTTATAACTCTGTTTACAATTGTTCCATCGTATTATCATGTAACTTCCATCTCCACATTACACTTAATATGTAACTTTTGTCATCTTGAAGCTCATGCGACTATAACACAAGATCTAGAGACTTGACTGGAAGACATGGAAAAAAATAAAAATAATGAGACTAATTAAAAATTAAATATCATACTATATCAAACAAGATCTAGAGACTTGACGGGAATAAGTGAAAAAAAAAAATAAAAATAATGAGACTAATTAAAAATTAAATAACATATTATATCAAACAAGATCCAGAAACTTGAGTGAAAGAAGTGAAAAAAAAAATAATGAGACTAATTAAAAATTAAACAACATACTATATCATTTGACTATCTTATTGAAGATATAGATGAAAAAAATTAAATTAAATTTGTTTAAAGACTAAAATTAAAACATATCTTAAGAAAATAAACATATTTAATTTCATATTTTTTATTCTTCTCTTTTCCCTTTTGCTTTAACAGTAGACTGCATTTTTTGTGTGAATAATTTTACACACTCAACTTCAAATATAGCATCATGTAACTATTGTCTTGTACATTTTTAACATCCAATAAGTATGAAATGCAAATGTAAAACAAAATCTCTCAAGATAGAGAGATTTGACCTGAATTTGTATTTTCATTTAGTCAGATACATTCTTATACAAAACCTAACTAGATATAAAGTTTAAATATGGATAAAAAAAACCAAATTTTGTACAGACGTCTTTTTCAATAAATATTTAAACTTTGTTTTATATGTGAAATACTAGCTCTATCTACCATGCTAAATGTTGTTGATACTTTTTTTAAGAGAAAACCCGGCTGATACTTATATGCTACGTCAATTAAAAATTATGTGACAATTACAATCATTTATAATGAATAAAAATATTTATTATTTTTGTTCGATTAAGAATTATTTCTATAAAGGTTGAATTATTCGGACAATATTCAAATATGATCTTTAGTCAAATATTAATTATCTCTTAATCAAACTAGATTACTCAAAAATAAAATCTTAAAACATTGATATGAAAAAAACAATAGAGAGATAAAAAAAAATGATGTGATACAACTTTTTTATTTCATGATGAGATATGATGATGAAATATGATGAAATGTGATGATGAGATGTGATGATAATAATGTGATATGAGAATGCATAGAGTCTTGATTGACATGCATCATGTGCATAAATGTTTTTAAGGGTACGATATGGAATACATCGCCAGAGAAGGCCCCCTAGTGTAAAAGCTTTGGGAATTAGTCCTTGGGGATAGCTCGGTTTGGAAGTTCCAGTCTCGCCCATTGTGTGCATGAGATGTATCTTGAGCGGCTTAGTTATCCCGACGAGACTCTGATAGTATGTCCTTCTAGTGAGAGTGTGTAGAAGGTGTGACCTGACATGTACTCCTAGACTACTCTTCATCTATTACTAGCGGCAATATGCCATGTGATATGTTACTGGCGCCACATGCATGATAAAATGTAGTCTGTGTCCATACATGTGCATTTTAATGTTATATGAAAAATTGATGTCTTGGATGAGTGAGATGTGATGATTTTATTAATTTATCTATGTTATACCTGTTTTGTTTGTGTTTGACTATCCGGCGTATATTTCTACACTATGAGCCAGAGTGAGATGTTTCTCACTCCCTTTTCTTGTGTTATTTTTCCTTGACTGTCTTACAGGTAATTATCAGCATGAGACTGAGGATGTTGGTGATGAAGCTTAGGCTTCTATGTTGGGATTTGCTCTGATAGGACATGTGACATCGGGGCATAGATAGAATTAGATTAGAATGTTTTTATTAAATTATTTAGGAAAACCTTATATTATTTCTATGTAATTTTTGCTGATTAAGCTACTGTTTAAGTTATGGATGTGATACCCTTTATTTAAACATGTTCGGTATTTCAATTATGAAAAAAAAATTATATTATTCAATTTTTGTTATTTGTGTTATGGTATGTGGGGTAAAGGGTGTCACATTAAGTGGTATCAGAGCAGGTCGATCCAATCTGCCGAAAAATATTTTTTATATATATATATATATATATATATATATATTTTTTTTTTTTCACTAATGAATCATATGTCTAAACTTTTACCCTACTTTTAAACCTTGTTAAACTTAAACTATAACCAATTTAATAAATTTAAATTAAAAGAATAAATTAAATTAAATTTTATGAAAATTTGGATCAATGAAAGGCTTCAACTATTGTTAAGTGACTCAATTCAAACTAATTCTGAGACTATGCTGAGATGGATTAAAATTTAATTTACAAGTTTTTAAATTTAGACCATATTTTTAGGCAAATTAACTAACCATTTAGCTTGACTTATTTTTAGTTTCTCATATATATTTTCCTTTAGTCAAATATATTCTTATACAAAACATAAGTAGATATTATGTTTAAATATGGATAAAAAATATATAATTTTGTACAAATGACTTTTTCAAAAAACATTTAAACTTTGTTTTATATATGAAATACTAATTCTTTCTATTTAAGGGTACGATATGGAATACGTCGCTAAAGAAGGCTCCTTTGTATAAAAGCTTGAGGTTCATTCCTTGGGGATAAGTTGGTTTGGAAGTCTTAGTCTCATCCTTTGTGTGCATGAGATGTATCTTGCATGATCATGCACAAGTGTGATGTATGATGTTTTTACTAACGTCATATACATGATAATATGTAGTTCGTGTCCATTGCTATGCATCTTAATGTTGTGTTATTTAATTATGTCATGAAAGAGTAAAATAAGTTATTTTACCAATATGCAGAAAAGATGATTTTGAGGATACTGATTTAAAAGAAGGTCATTTCATCATTCCACCCCATATCCTACTTTATGCAAAATAATGGCCCTAACTCTAACTCTAATCATGTTTCTTCTCATTGTTGTTTCACAAACCATGGTGTACATGATCCCATGTACACTTGGTCTTGCTTTGATGAATTCAGAGAGTGATAAGCTGGCTTTACTTGCTTTGAAGCAAAAGCTTACCAATGGCATGCCTGATGCTCTTCCATCATGGAACCAGTCTTTGCATTTCTGTGAGTGGCAGGGTGTTACATGCTGTCAACGCCACGTGAGAGTTTCTGTCTTGCACTTGGAAAATCAAAACTGGGGTGGTACTCTTGGACCATCCTTGTCAAATCTAACCTTCCTCAGAATGCTTATTCTTTCCAACATCGACTTGCATGGTGAAATTCCCACTCAAGTTGGTCGACTAAAGAGATTGCAGGTTCTTGACTTGAGCCACAACAATCTCCATGGTGAGATTCCCATTAATCTTAATAACTGCTCTAATCTTGAGGTAATTAACTTGTTGTACAATAAACTCACTGGAAAAGTTCCATCATGGTTTGGAATTGGATCTATGGCACGGCTTACTAAGTTGCTTCTTGGTGCTAATGATCTAGTTGGAACTATTCCACCTACCTTGGGGAATCTTTCATCCCTCCAAAATATCACACTTGCAAGAAATCATTTAGAAGGAAGTATACCTCATGTTTTGGGTCGGTTATCAAATTTGAAAGAGTTGAATCTTGGTTTAAATAGTTTGTCAGGAGTAGTCCCTGATTCTCTCTACAACCTTTCGAATATTCAAATTTTTGTTTTAGGGAAAAACCAGTTAGGTGGTACTCTTCCATCAAATATGCAACTTGCTTTTCCAAATCTTCGAGTATTCTTGGTTGGATGGAACAACTTCAATGGAACTTTCCCATATTCAATATCCAACATCAGCGGATTACAAGTGTTTGATATATCCTCAAATGGTTTTAATGGGCCAATTCCACCCACTTTGGGAAGCTTAAATAAACTCAAGAGGTTTAACATTGCATATAATAGTTTTGGAGGTGGGAGAGCTCAGGATTTGGACTTCCTTTCCTCATTAACCAATTGCACTGAATTGCACATACTTATTTTGGAGAGCAATGAATTTGGTGGCGTGTTGCCAGATCTTATTGGCAATTTTTCTATCCATCTCACTTGGCTTAGTATGGGGATAAATCAAATATCTGGAATGATACCTGAAGGAATTGGACAGCTAATCAGTTTAACTAACTTCATTATGATAGATAATTACCTCAAAAAAAGATTATAAGGGACCAAAATAGGTTTTTAGCCTTCTTTCTACTATACTAAATCCCGTTGATACTTTTTTTTTTTTATAAAGAAAACCGCGCTGATACTTATTTTAATAACTTTAATGTGCATATAACATTAATAGGGAACAATTAAACACAAATTGCTAAGGCAGAACAAATTAGATTATCTAAAGTATAATTAAATATCAAACAAAGAAATCTCTCATAATTTTACTTTTTTCTACGCATACATGCATATAAACCATGAGTTAGAATTACACAAGTCTTCCTACTTAAACTAATAACCATCACATATTAATTAGTAAAAATACTAAAAGTATCAGAACTAAAAATAATCGCAACTTTTAGTGAAAAAATAATAATTTAGATCACATATTACAAACATTGAATAGTTTGTGTTTTGGTGGGTTATGATGGAATGGATCAAAATGGGTTTTTTAAACTCCGGTTACACTTGTTCAAATATTTTTTATCATATAATTTCTATGTCTTGTATATTTTAAGTGATTATAAAATCATTGACAGATGAAAACAAATATAATTAATTTAGATCATATTTCTAGACCTACTAAATGACCATTTAACTTGACTTGTTTTTAGTTTGTTATATATATTTTCATTTAGCTAGATACATTCTTATACAAAATATAAATATATATTAAGTTTAAATATGAATAAAAAAAATACCAAGTTTTATAGAAACATTTTTTTTCAAAAAATATTTGAACTTTGTTTTATATATAAAATATTGGGAGTTATGAGCACGTGAACTCAAAATATGAAAATAGTAGACTCTAGGATCCAAAATATTGAGAGTTATAAGCGTGGGAACTCAAAAGATTGATAGAGTGAGCATAGAGGCTCGAAACATTAAAAGAGTGACTCCAGGGACTCAAAACATTAAAAGAGTGAGCACGGGGCTCGAAACATTAAAAGAGTGAGCACGAGGGCTCGAAACATGAAAAGAGTGAGCGCGGGGGCTCGAAACATTAAAAGAGTGAGCACGAGGGCTCGAAACATGAAAAGAGTGAGCGCGGGGGCTCGAAACATTAAGAGAGTGAGCACGAGGGCTCGAAGCATCAAAAGAGTGAGCGCGGGGGCTCGAAACATTAAGAGAGTGAGCACGGGGGCTCGAAACATTAAGAGAGTGAGCACAGGGGCTC